CTCGGTCCCGTCACGCCCACCGGTTCGTACCGCGTGGCCGGGCTGGACCTGATACACGACCACGACGCGTCCCGGCTGGACATGTGCGACTCGCCCATGTCGTCGACGGCCAAACCGCCGCCGTCGTACTACAGCGGCCGGCACACGACCGCGAGCAGCGTGCGGCCGTACGACGATCGGACACCGATCATCGGCACCGGAAGCGCGGGCGACGCGTACAGCGTGGGCACCGGGTCCGACGAGGTGTTCTCGTACAACAGCCAACAGCAGTTGCACTACGGCGGCGGCGGTAGCCATTACGCGCCGCAGCAGCACGTGGCCGGCCACAGCGTCGGTGGCAGCGTGAGCAGCGATTACCCGGCCGACTACGGTCTGCCCATCATACCGCCCGGCCAACACCATCATCAGTCCGCGGGCAACGTGTCGCAGCACCATCAGTACCATCCTCAGCAGCACCCCCAGCACCATAACCATATGGCACCGCCGCAACAGCAGTACTTCAACAATCAGCCCCAGCAGGATTTCCAACAACAGCACCAGCACGACGAGATGTTGCAGCAACCGTCGGTGAAGACCCTTCGGGTTTGGCAGAGAGGCGTACCCGTGTTGCCAACCACGCCGTCCCTGCAACGGTTCGCCAACAGGACTTCGCCCATCACGCCCGGTACCGACGTCTGACGTGCGCTTGGTTAAGTTTACGTTATTTCCAGACTTACACAATATTATTTATTACGATTCATTTTTTTTTTTTTTTTTTTTACAATTATTTATTTGCCCTTGTTTGTACGATGTATTGTCCTTCTGTGTTACTTTTTTCTGTAAGTATTATTACTAGGTGTAAAGTATATGAACATTTTAAGTTAATCGTGCGTACGCGTATATGCACGACGTGTGACGCGCGTTAAAAGTATCTTCAGATGTTCGCGTTTTATTTCGCCAACCGGAGCGCCCTCGATGTCGCGAAAACGCACGTCATTGCGAAACACGGTGTTAGATGTAGGTTTTCGAAACTTTTCCTCTTGGACGACCGCTTTTTCCGCTCGTTCCGCCGAGGAGACGCGACCGAAATCGATATGTCTGCAGGTCGATGGTGGAGCGGGTGGTCTTGTGTGCGCGTAGTAAGACGGGTGACGAATTATTATCGCGAAAAGGGAGCGATTAAGGAAGAAGGAAAAAAAATATTAAAAAAAAAAAAATAAAAAAAAATAGGGTTTTCTGGCGACGATGCGCGGCACTAGTGGTGGGGACGAAGCGCGACGGAAAGACGTATTGATTTCCGGGAATTTTCGGCGAAAACCGTTGCGGGAGAGTGGGTTGCTCCTTTTCGGGAAATACAGGAAAAAAAAACCATCCGTGAGATCTCATTCGTTACGGAAACGCGCGTCATGCCCAATGTTCCTTCTATACGCGTACTTACGTAATACACACGTTTTACCTAATACGTGTGTATGCGTGCACTAGTGGTATTATTGCGTTGTACAAAAATATGTGTGTATTGTTTTTTTTTTTCTACTCCAAAATATGGCTGTGATGATGCGGTTTGTTTTTTGCGCACCGACGACAAAGAAAAACCTTTTATTTATTTTTTTTAACGTGTAAATTATTTTTGTAAAAATTTTATGTTTAAAATAAAAATAAAAAAAATCCATAAAAATTATTGTATGTGCAGCATGCACACAATGGCAAACGACTTTATGGCGACGCGATTGCAACGACCGCGAAAGGCAAGGAGCGCACTCGGGCGCGTGGATTCACTGTAATACCAACTAAAAACACATATACTTTCTATGTATTCATACCGTCTTCGTTATTATATTAGTAACGTATTACATTTGTAGATCAAGTGCGTTATGAAAATCCTGCGTGCGTGTACGGCGCGAATCGCGCAATCGTTTCCATTCGTTAAGTAAAATATTTTCAATTTCTATTATTGTTGTTGTTGCTGTTTAATATTTTTATTTATATATATATATATATATATTTATTTATATGTGTGTGTTTACATTGTATAGCGTAAAGATTATTATTTATTTTCCGTGTAAATAACAATAACGTGTACATGATTTTATTTTTCTACTCGTTTGTTTCCGACGAGCTATTTTATGTACGATATATATGTTTGCGTTGACTGTAATATTTTTAATATATACACGCGCGAAGTATTAGGTTAAGAAAATATTTGATTATAATTTATTAGTGTACGATATTTTGAAATATACGATTATTATTATTTTTTTCTCCATATTTGGGTACGTTTAACACGGTTTGTACGGCGGTCGACCGCGCAGCAGTGCGCTCGATCCGGGTCCTCGTGGCCAAGTCGCGTGTCCTGGTCGTGCCGTGGTCACCTCGCGCGCCACTCATCCTTGACGCGGACCGATTATTAGCCGCTCAGGGTCGCGTGAAAGTCCGAAAAGGGCGCCGCTCGTCATTAATCGGCCGTTACGGTTTCGTTAGCTGCTGGTGCTGTCCTCGCGCCCGTCGTTCGTTCGACCATTCATGTCCGTACCATCGTTTTCCTTCCACCCGCCCGTCCGGGATAACTCGCATTTCGTGGACCGAACGGACGACGGTGGAGGGGAAAGAAATAATCGTACAATAAAGAGCAGCAGCAAAGACGGAGCGAGAAAAAATACAAAAAAAAAAAAAAATAAAAATCGTACGCCGTCAGTTCGGGTAACCGAACGGTTACGGACAGGTACACAATCACACAGAAAACGGCATTAGGTACCTTTCCCGAAGCCACAATGACAGAAAAGAAAAGAAACGAATAAGAAAAAAAAAAATAAAAATAAATCCGAGGAAAAAAAAATAATAATAATAAAGTTACATTATGGGAGGAGGGCTCACGGTTTCTTTTCTTCGTCGACCGTTCACGATTACTCCTCGCCGCCGCCCTCTCACCCGCGGTCGTACCTTCCCAACCGGTACGCGGCCGCACGGCCTACCTGCGCGCACACCTGGTACCGATTATCCGAAATCTCGGAGCGTCCGCATTATACTCTGCCAGTTCTCTCCTGCCCGTCGCACCCCGCTGTTCGACCCGGCCGCGCGCGCTCCTCTCCTTCACCGGGCCCCGGTTTCTTTTGTTCCTGCGTCGTCACACGTGCACTATTATTACGCGCGCACGCACGCCCGCGTACCTTGCTGCGCTGCACCTGGTCGCCGTCGTTAAGAATCAACTGGTGGCCGAGGGGTCGGGCGAGACGAAAACAACCCTTTGACGCAGCACCGACCGTTTCCAGTCGTACCGGTGCACGGGCAAATGTCGCGAACTATCCCCCGACAGCGATCGGCGCGAAAACGCGGTGATAAACCCGAAGTTTAGGGGACCGAACGGTCCGGATACGTTCGGAACGATTCGGTGGCCGGTGAAGTCTGAACGCGAGCGATGGCGAAAAACGACCGGAAGCACGCGGGGTACGACGACGAAACAACGAACGAATGTCACACCGGACACATTGCGGTGACGTGATTTCCGGTGTGATTGTGAACAACGTTTGGCGAGCGACTTGTGGATAATCGTTTTTCATACCGTCGCCTGCCTCCCCCTGGAAAAATAATACGAATTTATTAATTTATTTTAAAATATCATTACTATTATTTAGTATCAAATGTACAACTGTTATCGTGTTGACGATTATCGTACGACGACAAATATCGATTCAAGATAATTTGTTAGAAAATCCATAACTTGAGTATATTTTATCGACCAGCACACGCGTTCATCGTGAAAGGTTGAACTTGAACAAAAATAATTTCATCCAAGACGTCATTCATATTTATATGGAACGAAAGGAAGTAAATTACAATTTTTATTTTCCGATACCAAATCATACAATTGACTATACTTTTTTTTTCCCTGTACTTAAAATGTATTTTAATCAATTATTATGTACCGTGAAAATATTAATCGTATAAATAATAACATGTTCATACGTCGAGATAATTTTAAACCTTTATTTAGCTTGAATTTGAAAATTTTTTAAGTTTGCCTCCCCCCCCTCCTTGAAAAGTTACCTATTGACATCAACGATCATCTCCCTTCACGTTTTACGCATCCACTGCGTGCACGAGGACCGTATTATTTTCTTCGCTGCTACCGCTCCCATCTACAGAACAAACAATTCGAACGGGTTACGCGTTACCGTGCAGCTGATGTCGCGTGTTGACGCGCACCGACCGGAAAATCGGTGTACGTTCAAATCGTCGGGAGATTGAAACCATAAACTTTGCGACGGACTTTAAGACACCGTGTAGCCTCGATCCCGGATAAAACGGTATTGTGGGGCGGGCGTTTGTTTCATATTAATTTTATCCTCGCACCGCATTAGCGCGCTCGCGTATGTGTTATTTATACGCGAAGATTTTTTTTATTTTTTTTTTTTACAGTACTCAAGACCGCGCCTTATTTGTGTGCGACGTGCACGCGAATTCTTGTGTTCCAAAGATTTTTATTGCGTTCGAAATGAATCGCATTTTTTTTTTTCGTCCCTTTCTCCCTCGCTCGTAGTATACACGATGGTATTGCAGCTCCGTTCACAGCATCGCAAGTGACCAATTAGTAAAACGCACACGCACGTTTTTGAGAATTTATTAAAAGTCGGGTACATATTATACATACGTAGTACTTAAATATATATATATATATATATATATATATATGATGTACATGTGTACACTTCCAAACGTTTCCACTGCACAGCTACGGACGCACATATAATAATGAATACTGCAGTGCGTTTCTTTGCGCGCGTGCACGTATATTACATTTTATTATATTATTACGTTTTTACTTAATTAGGCCGCCAAATCGACAAAAACCGTCGAGTCTACAGCATTAGACTCATGCTATGGAACCTAAGTATTACACACACACGCACATACGAACGGATCGCGAGCTCATTATAGAGGCGTTTCACGTGAAGTAATAATGTAAAAACGTATGAAAAACAAACCGAGTACATTTTTAATTATTATTATTTCGTAGTCGATTGTACCGCATACGTGTAGTTTTGTGAACGACAGCTGCAGGACCCGAAAGAAATCTCCGACAAGATCTTTGTACAGCGTAATATATAAGTGTGCGCACGTACACACAGCGGTGGAAATTAAATTACTCTACGAGTAAAAAAGCACAAAGGAAACACTAAAATAATAGTAATAATAATAATAAAAAAAAAAAAGATAGCATCTCGACGCTGTGGGATTGAGGTTTTATTTCACTGGTATTCTAATGGAAGGGAGAGAGAGGGACTTTGCAGTCGTCAAATCGAAATCAAGCCCATTATCGATGCGAAAACCCCTGAAGACCTCTGGAGAATATAACGGTGCCGAAGCGTATAAGATATAAAATATGTATGATCGCGCGCAGGACGAATACGTATACGTATTGTCGGCCAATTATACTCTTCGATGGTTAGTGCGCTGTTACTACGTTTTCGGGTCACACAATCGTAAACCGGCGAATATTCACTGTGGTTTTATCGTCATCGAACCTTGCACGTGCAGCGCACCAACAGCAATATATCCAGGGACGGATTGGCCTTTCGGGAAATCAGTATGTTTACAAATGGACCGGTCTTCAACATTATTGTTCTGCAGTTGATAGCAGTTCATTAACAAGCTAAATCACAAAACAATTATTAATTTTAACAATAATAACATATAACATTATCAATAGTTAAGAACAATACAGATACGCATACATTTTCATAATAACACATACAGGGTGTTTCTGAAATGGAAGCGGTCGCTAGTATAATACACTGACAACAAGTAACTTTCACCGCTGCTTGTTTCGTAATGTTCTCGACCGATGTGTCAAACCATTTTTTTGTCATTCGTGCTTTAAAAACGCGCGACAAGTGCAAACACGGTGTGACGTTTTGATCCGTACAAGTGTTTTGTAAAAAAATAACGCTAGAGTGTTTATTTGCACGTTAAAGATAATATTCTAAAAGTTGATTGAACAAACCAAAATGTTGAACATCAAAACAAGTTTCAAAAAAATTTTCATTGGACCTATCAATGTGAGCGTATACGTATGTGTATGCCAGTGATACTATCTCATCAATTTTAGAAACGCCCTGCACGTATAGTTTGTTCTTAACCATAAATTATGTTTGTTACACAGTTAATTTCAAAGATAAACGTGTTTCAACAGCCACTGTTACCCTGAGAGGTAACACACGCTCGCTTTTCGGCAGCGTATTATTGTTAACGTTTGGGTCGACCCTATCCGTTTCTTCGACGTCTACGTGCGCGGCGCGGTGTCGGATTAAGTCGCTACACGGCCGCGGCGGTCAGAACGTATTGTGCGATCGTGCCTTACGTTTTTGAATCCGATTTTTGTAATCCAATGACAAGTGGTGTCGTAATGTTCGTCAAGAGTAAAGCATCACGGGCAGTAGTGAAACGCGACCGAGAAAGAGCTACGGGAGTCCGTAGGAGTTAAGAGCT